AAACTTAAAAAATCTACTAATAAGTCAATCGTAATTGCTTCATACCAATACAATAAAAATGTGATATTCATATTGCCCCGCCAATTTGTAGAAGTTGTTTGGGGCAATATGATATAACCGTTAAAATCTTCTCTAACTTTAAGTTAGAGAAGATTAACTATGAAAATCATATGAAAACCATATTTTTCATACATCGTTATAACAATTTTTACAGGCTTTAAACTTTTCCTGTGCTTATTCTCATACGCGATGTCGCATTACTGTGCTTTCCCCGGCTGCAATAACATCCGCGAGCATAAGACACACAGATTTTTTTCCTTTCCGCCAACTGAAGATCGGTAAGCAACTCGCTTAAGCAACTTTTCTTCTTTAAATTTCGAGTTTTCATGTTTTCTCTGTTATTGAACTCTTCTTTCAGACGAAGCAATTGGTGTCAAATTTTGGGTATCGGTACGTCTCCGGCCAATATAGCTTTGGTTAAGAAAAGGCGGATTTGCAGTCTACACTTTAAGCCATCTGACATTCTTCCAACTGGAAAGTTGTCTGATTCTGCTGTTCCCTCCTTAAATTCCTGCTCTACTACTCGCGCACTTGGGAATATTACAAACAGTGTTGCTCAGGTGTCTCCCAGTCAGCACCCATCTGTTATCGGTATGACTATTGCTTGTCGCTAATTGTTATGGAATATTTATAGATTATTATTTTTTTATATAGAATACTCACATTCGATTACACAAAAGCTTGATGGGAAAGATGCCGAAATTCGCCGACTAAAACAAGAGCTACTCAAATTGTCCTCAAGGAACAAGAAATTATCAGAACAGCTGAATAAATCGACCTCCATGCCTATTTCTGAAGACAAGGTAAAGGAATTCTTCGCCTCTTCTCCCTCTCTGGGAATGTTCATGGCCATGCAGTTTAGAAGATATGGAAAAAAAGCCAAACAGACTTATTCCTCCGCTGAACAGGCATTGGCCATTACTATACTTCATTCTTGTAAATCAAATGGCTATAGGTATGTAACATAATACTGAAATTTATCTACTTATACCGTGCTAAAATCTTATTATTACAGGACTCTGCAAAATCTTGGTCTACGTTTACCCGCCTTAAGGACAATCTCCAGATGGCTGTCTCGGTTCCCCATGGGGGTTGGTCGGAATCCTCAAGTGGTAATGTGCCTTCAACAGAAACTGTCTACCATGAATACATTTGAAAGAGACTGCATCCTGTCGTTTGACGAAACCAAGATAACCAGTGGCCTCCAGTATTGCAAGTCGTCAGACTCCTTTGTCGGTTATGAAGATCTTGGACTTGGCCATGTCTTGATGAAGGAAGCAACACAAGCGTTTGTTGTATCAGTAAGAGGAGTAACAACAGGATGGAAGTTCCCTTTGGCATACTATTTCGTTAACAAAACGACGTCTGCTCCTGACATGAAACGGATCATATTCGAATGCATGAAAGATGTCAAGGAGTCTGGAGGTAATGTTGTTGCTATAGTGTGCGATCAAGGTGCTACGAACAGAGGACTGGCAAATCTCCTTAACATAACTGTGGATCATCCTCTCTTCGAATTTGACGGTCAGCAAGTTGTTTTTCTTTACGATATCTGTCATCTGATAAAATGCCGGGCCGGGCTCGGGAAAAAATGGATTCAACACGATCGACAAACCCGATGGATGTGTTGGACCATCAATTACTATCAGTCATATAAACAATTTCATGGAACGAGACCAGAATTCTGCATTTCCATCAGCACCACGATTGAGAAAACGGCACATAGAGCCCAATCACAAAGAGAAGATGAAGGTAAAACTCGCAGCTCAGCTACTTAGCAATTCGGTCTACGCTGTAATGAAAACCATGATTGACTTGCACCAATTACCTAAAGATCATGAACCAACAGCGAATTTCTGCAAGATGGCCAATGATTTGTTTGATCTATTCAATATTTCTCAGAAGGACGACGCAAATCCTCTAAAATGTGGTTCGAAGATCTTTACAAACCTCTACCGATTCAATGACTTCTACGACTGGGTGAACACGCTGAAATATTGTGGATCATACACGCCAACCGTAAAAGGCCTCAAGATTACAATCAAAGGTATGATTAATCTAGTCGAAACTCTTCAATCCAAACAATACAAATGGATTTGTACTCGACGTTTCCAATCAGATGGATCTGAGCACATATTTTCACTAGTCAAAATGAAATCTGGTGGAAATCCAACTGCGATTCGCTTCAAATATGCGTTTAAATCCATGTTTGTTAGTACTTTGTTAAGGAATCCTCTCGGCTCAAATGTTGAGGTAGAAGAGGATGACTACGTAGCTGTCAACGAAGAACGACTTGATTTTCTTCTTATGTTGTCTCGCCAAAAGAAGACAACTCCAGTAGTAGAAGAAGATTCTGATTCTGAGTTTGAGTCTGGTGGGGAAGATTCTAATGATGACGACAGGATAAACTTTGAGTTGAACCAGTTATGCGCCGATTTAAAAGAACTAGAGGGGACAAGCACTAGCGAATGTGTGGCTATCTATGGAGCTGGATGGGCAGTTAAGAAAATTCTGAGCCGGGTAGATTGCCAGACTTGTCATGAGATGTTAGAATTTCACACAGACAGAGACGAACCAGGATTAGATAAGGACGAAACATTAATGCATAATAAATCTTTTGAAGAAGCGGACCCTTTCCTTAGGAGAAGTCCCTTATCTTATGGTCACCTGTTGAAATCGGAAGTTAAAAATGTCTTCCATGAAATTAATCAACATTTCGGACAAAGTTTCTATACATCTTTGAATCTAGTCGGAACTAATTTCAGTGTTCAGGAATTTGGTGAGGAAGTTGAAAGAAATACCACTTGTCAACGCTTTTTTGGAGGCAAATGCTAATGTGAATTGTCAAAAACACCGCAGACAGATTTTGGAGTTATTTTTACGTGCCCGTGTCTTCGTTTATTTCAACCAAAGGAGCGACGAAATGAATCGCATGAACGCAGTGATCAATAGTGATAATTTTTTTCACATTAATTAATTTTGGATAACTTATTTTATATATTAACTTATATTTTTTTAATAACGTGCTTAAAGGATAAATACCTAATAGGCTAATTTATTTTAATTGAGACTGAATTTGTTGAATGTCTAAAACCGTTAATTTATTAAATTTGTTGATCTCCTGCTGTTATTTGTATAAATTTTTATTTTGATATTTTGATATGAAATAAAAAATTGTTAAAATATGAACAAAATGATCTTTGTGAACATTTTTTCGGCTTTTTGGCGTAAAATTAAAATTTTTGTGATAAAAAAATTTGCAAAATAAATTCAAAGCATTAGAAAAATGACTGCAAAATTATTTCAACTAATTTATGAATTTAATGCCAAAACTTGCCAAATTTCGCCGACGTCACTTTTGAACATCCCTTCATTCATTTTCCTGCCACCATCACTATCGCTCACTACCACTATGCTATCATCAGCTGTTCTATGCATCACTCACTCACCACCACCACCACCACCACTGGTCTGCATTTTTCCATGAAAAGTGGAAGACAAAGAGAAATGCGTTGAAAAATGGGCGGTGACGATCGCGATTTTTGCCCATAGTCGACGCCCCTTTTTATAACATTACTCAAATACGGTTGTCATTTCTATATGGTCCCCGTGGCAGGGACGCCACCTATCGGTCTTCCTATGACCAAATCCTTTTAAGCAGGACCGCCCATCTGGAGAGAGACGTTGGCCAGGGAGGCAGTCGCACCTTCTGCGTCGCCCACAATATCCGGTCTCGCATTGGGTTACGTCGTTGCATTGTGACCCGAGTGTGGTGACGCAGGTATGGGGAGTTTGGCTGTAAGTGCTATTCGTTAGGCTGCACTGGCAAGTTCCACCTCGGCAGGTGAGACCTAGCCAGTCCTTGCAAGGGTTGGGATTGAAGTTGTAAGAGGGGTTTTCTGGGCGACAGGATTCCCCATGGTTTCGATAGGCAAGTATTCCATCGGGTGCGTAAAGCTGGAGTAAGAGAAGAGATAATTTTATTAGATTGATAAAGGTCATGGCTTGTGTTTAGTGGCCACGATTGAGGAAAAGTATTTGATGTACTGATTTGCTTCTGCTCTAAAAATGATGGGTTTTTATTGAATTTTTTACTTGTATAATTATTTGTTGGCCAAGGCTGTAATATTCTTGGTAGTGCGAGAAATAATAAAATATTAAAATGAGTACAGGTGCAAAAAATAATTTATTGTATATTTCCATATGAATGACAAACCCCATGACGAAATAAATTTAAATAATTGTTGTTGTAATTTAAATTAATCTTTGTAGGATTTGATGGCTTTCCATGAAGCACATTAAAAGTTAGCTGCACAAGATTCACGCGTACTACTCATATATCGGCATGCTAAATATCTTCTATAGTTTGCTAAGCCAAATTTGCTCATACTCTATATACCATATTCTTTTATTATCGTACGTGTACAAAATATTTATTGTAAAATGCCGGATTCATGTGATATTGCAATATGTCTTTATTACATAAAGTGCAATTGACTAATTCTTGCCGAGGTTTCTCATGAATTCACATGATGCAAAAACTTATGCTTTCTTCACACGAGGATTTATTTAAGCAAATTTGAATGTCCTACAAACATCTGATCAAATCTATTGTGCTGAAGCTCATGAAATAATAAATCATGAGACTTGTATATGAATTTAATTATATAATCGTATAATTAGGTTAATACCTAATTATATAATTGTGCAATTATTAATTCAGATGTGTAATAATTGTTGCAGCTGCATCAAGAATTAATTACTAATACATAATTGCACACGGAGTATTTTCAGCAATTCAATCTCATAAATTTGTAATTCACATGACCAACAAGTGGTCCTCTTGTTCTCAGTATTTGCGTCACAGATGAATCTTTTCTTCAGGAGTGTATAAAATCGGAACGATATTGCTACATTTTTATCAAAAAACGAAGATCAGTCCCTGGTTTAACTTTCTATCGCAAATTCGAAATTTCGTTGTTGGATACCCCGGAAAGAAAAATGAAGTTATCCCAGCAGTCTCTGATTTTCGTGTTTGTCGTCTTACTGGTAATTATACCTGATAATCTTTTTCGTTAAATCGGGTAATAAAAACATTACTTAATTTCAGGCGGATGCTCTAGGGCAGGGTGGACTTGTTGGAGACGAGTTGTCGAATGACATACTGGAAGAAGATGATGATGCAAATGACGAGCTGGAGATGCACCCCGCTGTGATGAACGGTACGAATGTCCGATATTACAGCTGCTCTTTCTGTGGGGGATATACGCCTATGCATTGTAGGTCCAGGTGTAAAAGCATCGGATATAAATGCTATGCCTGTGAAGAATGTGACTGTAACTGCCACTTTAGCTGTTTTTCTATAGGATAAAATTCTTTGCCTAGATTTTGATTCTGGAAGAAAATATAAATGTTACAGTTTATGTAGGCGACTTGATAAATAAAGACAATTTTAAATCGAACTTTTATTGTCATTAAACTTTACTACTGATGGAATGTTTCATATTTTAGAATAAAAAAGTGTTCAGTTCAGATCTCAGTTTTCTAGCGGGATTGTGAATTTCTCGTAAGTTATTCGTAAATCCGGTGCAGTGGAATTATGATAACGCAATAGAATATTTAGCAGACAGATATTTCCATAACCCAATTCAATTGACTGAAAAAAATTATATTTTTAAAATTCTACTATAATAAATAAATAAACAGGATATCTTAGATGAGATTTAGAGTATGTATGGCAGAAGTATATATATATTAGAGCGTAAATACATTTTGTTGACCCTCGCCCGACAAATGCCCTTCAGAAACAAGCTACAAGCTCATGGAACATAATTTGGTCATGGATATTTTAGAGAAAAGTATAACCATATTTTATTGAAAGTATAGCCTTCCGAGACAAAAGGTATTCGATTTTGGGTCAATTTCTTAAGAAATTTTGTTACCCAGTCTCCATGAAATGAAGACCTTCTACAAATGAAAACATTCACTTACAGTGGCATGGTTGGTAGTACTGAACGACAACCTTGTACATTAAATGTGGATTTGGCGTATATGAATGCATAATATATATGTAAGTAACCATAGTGGAGCTTTATGTATACTAGATTCAATATAAATAGGTGAAAAACACCAACCGGGATTCAGTCAGTGTGCAGTCGTTAAAATTGTGCTCATCCTACATATCACAAACAACTTGAGTGTTTAATTAATTGTTAGCAATTTAATCTGTCTGCATCGCTTGCTACGTATTTGGTAAGAATTTTATTAAATTATGGGCCCATGGAAAAGTAAAGTAATTACAATTTTCTTTAATAATATTTAAGAAGGTCTTGAAAATGAATCCGGGTGGACATTTTACCCATAGTTTGGCTATGAAACTGCCAGAGGTCCGAGTTTGACATACTTATATGAAAACAGTAGTTATATGTACATAAACTTTATCAATTAATATAAAATTTTAAAATTTTAAATTTTCCTCTACTTTTAACGCAGATTCTTGCTAACATCATGATTTACCTCCCCACTAAGGACTTATTCACTTGCACCGTTGTAAATTTAGTATGGGAAAAAGAAGCAAGAAACCGTCTTCGATCTCGTACTGTCTCAAATATCGAATTAAAATCTCCAATGGAAATTTTACGCCCATATTACAACGAACAAATCTGCCTGTCTTGGGGTTTCCATGGATATAGTAAAGAATTGCTCCGCCGACTCGAAGACTTCGCGGTGGCAAATCGAAATAAAGTGCGACACTTAACAATCCCATTTTTCATCGATGGGGGAAATTACTCCAACCAATTTTTCAAAATTCTCAAAATTTTCGGGGACAAATTAACGTCGCTTCGATTGCAACTATTTCTACAGTACGTTTTCCAAGATAACACATTGCTGCCAGAAGTAGAAAACCTGTCTTCATTCTTGACAAATTTTACTAACAAAGATTTAGTCTTCCCTTCCATTACAAATTTCGAATTTGATTCACCCAACCTGCCATCCGCTAGTGTAATCCTGGCTAAACTGGCCCCAATATTTCCCAACGTGACAATGTTGCAATGTCAAGAGGACACGATTTGTGGTAATATTTTCAACCTTCAAAATTACGTTTCTCAATTTCCCAAACTGAAATCCTTTTCCTTCACTAACCGGGCCAGTACATTACCACCACAAATTCAACAAGATTGGTCCCAGATAAATTTGACCCGCTTAGAATTTTATACATCCCGCGATAATTCCCTGGGTGCCATATTGTTGCAAACAGTTGCTCCTACCTTGGAAAAAGTTGCCATCACGCTTACTGGCACAAGAAGTCGTCTATGGGTCCCAATTCTCCCGAGACTGCGGGTTTTGAAAATTACTCGGTATGATGGGAAAAGTTGCAAAGTTGGGCATGAAGTTCGGCTCCAGTTTGAAACTGAAGATGACGCCACTGGAGTGAAGATTGATTACGAAAAGCAATTTCCAGTCTTAGAGCAGCTAATTGTCAGACGAAGTAATTTGCGAGGAAGCGAGCCTGATCTGCAGTTCTGTTTCGATTCTACGGCTCAGTTTTTATATTCTTCGTTCACCCCGTTCACGGATAAGGTCGCTGTGTGCCGAACACTTCGAAAATTGGACATTCCACTCCCTCCAGGGAAACACTTCAGGTTAAGACACGAAAACGATGGGGTGCATCAATCTTGCCCAAACATTTGCAATTGTTGGAACTGGGAGGAGTCGACCAAGTTTCTGAATCGTCTTGGTGAAAGTTTTCCTAACGTGAAGTATCACTATTTAGAGGAGCGGAGGCTAGGTTTCGGTCAAGAAATGGGTGATCATGCCTCTAGACTGCTCAGGCACTTGGCTACTAAAATAGACAGACAATGATTTTTTGAAAGATTAGACATGTCATTTTATTTATCTATACCATTCATTTTTCAAATGAATACCAGGAGTTGATTAAGTTAAAGATAAAATTCACAACAACTCCGCAAAAATTAAAATTCTCCCAACTTTCTCGCTATAGCATTGAAGGATTCAACGTTTAAATTTGCAAAAAAATGAGGCATAACGAAAATTTAACAACAGGCCTATTTATTTGGAAAATTTTTCTCCAATTTGGGTATAAAAGCGTCACGTATAATTAGTGACCGTGTAATTAAATTATGGCAAAATTGTAATTTATTAATTTTTCTAATAAAAAGTTCTAGTTGGTACATATTTACAGCTTGAGAATTATATTTTATATATCTCATCAGTATAAGCAAGCCACATACAGTCTGTTTCATAATGATTGCCAATTTTGAATTTTTGTCATAAAAGATTGATTAGTTGCAGAAACTTTCTTATTTTTTGCCAAGTTATTCTCCAAACTATAGCCAACTTATGCATAAAAGATAATGTTCCTGTTTGCCTCCATTAAATTTTAAATGCGAATTAATTAAAAAACACTGTTTCATATTGATAGCACATTTTTTAATTTCTTTATTTTTCATGAATAAAACAAAAAAATGAATATGCCAAACATATGTCAGTATTCTGTTGAACCACCCTGATTAGCAATTACTTTAAAGATTCCGGTTGGACATCGAGTCCAAAAGCTTATTGAGGCTGACTTTCTCCTATGTAGCAAGATTTAGTCTTTCAGCTGTTGAACGTTGGAAAACTGTCCATCAGTCTCTCATCAATCCATCAGATCCGTCTAGGTTCCACTTTTTCTCGTCACTAAAGACTAAAGAATTCCATTCCTTAGGCCTGGTCATGTGATCTTTAGCCCACGCCAATCGAGGAAGCTTGAGGTGATCTGTGAGTGGATGTTTCCCTTTCATCCTGTCGTATGGAATGTGAGGAGATATCTTTACAGCCCTCCAAATTGTTGACTTCGATACTTCCAGGTCCAAGGATGACTATATTTGCAGGAGGGACATGCTATTGTTACTTGTCCCGCCTAAAATCCGCCTTTGATCGCGTGGTTAAAGTTTTGGTTTGCGACCTGGCGACTTGCTAGATCCGTAATTTTTTTCAGAATTGATGAAATTCGTCATAACTTTATGTGACCGGCCAATTTTTCTCGCAATTTCCGGAAATTTTTTTTTCGGACGCTTTTAGACCGGCAATTTGTCCCTTCTCAAACTCGTCGAGTCTTTTTTTCCTTCCCATGCCCCAAAAATGCGAAATATTTGTAGATTATGGTGCAAAATTTCATAAGATACATTAAAAATGTGCTATCAATATGAAACTGTGTTTTTTTTGGTAAATTCGCCTTTAAAATTTAATGGAGGCAAACAGGAACATTATCTTGTATACATAAGTTGGCTATAGTTTGGAGAATAAGTTGGCAAAAAATAAGAAAGTTTCTGCAACTAATCAATCTTTTATGACAAAAATTCAAAATTGGCTATCATTATGAAACGGACTGTATTATGTTCCAGTATGCATAATTGCAAGATTACACGGAATTAGTATTAAACGTAGCCAATAAGTAAGTCATTAAGACAAACATCCTGTATTCGAAGTAGTTTAGGATATATGGCATCGCTCGAACTAAATATAGTGTACGATTTGTTTTACAAAACTAACACTTTTCCAAAAAGTAAACTCTTCTCACATAGGAAAATAGGCATTTTGTGGTTAAAAAATCAGGGATTTCAAGTTGCGCTTTGAAATGAGAGTTCTCATAATTTGTTCACTTTTAGTAACTTCGATATCGCCTAGAATTTTCAACAAATCTACCGTATTGGCTAACTATATACATAAAATACCTGCCAGATACGAAATAAATTTCCGAACCTGTTTCCCTCAAAGAGTTTTAACTGCATACTTAAAGCTTAATCCTGACCATGTCGTCACAATTCAAACTTATAAATCTGACAAATGTGACGAACCCATGGACTCCTACCTTAACGAAAGGGAAGCCTTATATTTCCGACATTCCAGAAAATTTTCACCAAATTTAAGTATTTATACTAGTGGGCCCTCATATTTTGCAAAATTTGCACTACCTCATTACAAAAACAGGATATGGGACCCACTCGCAAAATCCAGTACTATTTTATGTCGCAATGAGAGTTGATGTGCAAAATATTATGAATTCTCTAAGAAAGCTGAACACAATCCCTGAACCAAGATTTACATGTGCCCTTGTATTATTAGAAGTAAAGGAGGAAATGAAACAAATTATTACCGTATCTTCAAGCTTAGTTTGCTATACTTGTAATGAAAAGGAAAGATTTTTCAATGTTGAAATTAATTTGGTGCAGCAACCTTCAGCCATACTAGATCGACATGCCTTATTACATTCCAATGGCCATGAGGGACTTGGCTACATCTACCAGATAGTTGCACCCGTCCTGACACAGGAAGAGATTAAAACCAACCCTAGGCTAGCACAATGCGCCAAGTATTTGAGTGTGGAGCCGCGCTGCAGAAATGTATTTGCCGTTGTGCTGCAAATGCTGATGGAGAAAATCAATATTTCAGCTGTCAT